CGGGGATCGGGAAGATGCTTCACGATACATGCATCATGTGCATGGGTAGATAGTCGCATGACCCCGCATGGGGAATGTTTTCAGGATGTGTCCCACCAGCTTTACCATGTGGTCGTTACATGAAGTGTTTGGTGGGGTGAGAGTGCATCGACAAAACTGGAAATAATACGAGTCTAATAGATTTCTGGTGAAAAGCCGAAAGTGAGGGGAAAAGGGTCCACTAAACAAAGATTTATGATGGAGGCATCTAGCCTTGAAGAAAGCGATCTGAAAGGAATGGAAGTTTGCAACTTTCGTGGCACAGAGGTTGCTCTCCCGTTAGAGTTAATTGAACAGGTAAGCTCATTTCATATTTATTTCATCGCTAAACACGGAGCGATCCTATATATGCCGAGTTTTCACGAGAGAGATTTACTACGGTTACTGCTTACCGAGGTTTCGAAAATAAACCGCAGTTATTAGAGAAGCTGTTTACATGGAACTAGTTTACTAAAGTAGGCCGCATGCAACGGGCGGTTTGAGATTTTCTCGGAAAGCAAGTGCTGCAATGTTGCACAGAAACTTTTGGAAAATTATCAAATTTCTGACTTTACTCCAAGGTCGAACACAGGTCGTTGTCAATTTGCAGGCGGTGATGTGGAGCCAAACTCTCCTTAAATATAAAGATTTAGACGAATAATGGAAAGAATATTTTGATATCTCGCTGAGCCTCTTCCCGCAAAAAACCTGAAACGGCATGTACTGCGGAGCCCGGGCTACGTAAATGTTTACCAGCAATCCTTCTTATTAGGGGCCGCTTTAAATTCTAACTTTTACTTTTCTTCACCATAGACCTCAATTATGATTTTTTTTCGCAAGTTTCTCTCTCTTTGTGGTAGGTCCTCTTCTAGTTGCACTTGCCGGTACACTGCTACTATAAAGCTACAGAGCTTCTAACAGAAAGGAAACGCTTACGGCACTTGACGATGAAAGGGAAACAGCAGTCCAGGATTTCCTTGCCTAAACATGAGTTAATTAGCTTTTTTTCCATTGACTTGAAACCTACTTATATTAGGAGGAATCTTTGTCTGTTTTTCTCTCCTTTACGCACTAAACGCGTGAACACTTGCTGCCAAGATGTTGCGACAATGTCTGCTTTTCCTTGGTTACTGTTGGTTACCGAGCCAAACCATGGCTGATGAGGCGTTTGACTGTCGACAAACTTAGGTTGGCTTACTTTTGATTTTGCCACCATTTACCGAGGTTGGCTACTGTGTTTACACAATTAAAAATTTCACTTCAGTGAAGTTGAAACAAAACCAAGGTAAACATCTCTTATGAAAACAGGGATATAATGAGGCTGAGCTGTTCAGCCTGCCAATCACAAATCCCAATGGATGACCAATGCTCACGTTTGATTGGCTTATTCATTCAGGTCTAATTTTAGCATTTTGAGACAAAATTCTGGTGAGCGACGGGTGTAATTTTCTGTTTTATTTTATAAGTAAACAATGCCTTTTGAACGAAATGATTGATAGCTTCAGGAGAAGAGTTAGAAAAGAACATTGACTTTTTTAATTTCAACTTCTTAATAATTATTTTGTTCCTCCACTTGCGAAAGCCCATCATATGGATTCAAGCTGTTCACTCAAATCGAGTGTCTTTGCTACTTCGAGGACTAACGTGGTTGAGAAATAAGTTTGGAAACTAAAACTCGTAAAAAATCCCAGATACAAGCAGACTGCAAAGGTAATATATTATCTACGATAATATGGTTATTCTTCAGCCAGTTATCTAAATGAGATTCCATAAGGTAAGCATTGGCTGCTGCCTACTCTTGCTGCTAAAATCCAGTCGGCCTTTTACAAATGCAATTTTTGTTTTTATTGCATTCAGCCAGGAGTCTTCCTTCTCTTTCTACAATCATGGACAAAAGACTTGCGACAAATTTGCACTTTTGGTGCTTTTGCGTACACGCCAGATGCAAATACTACTTCAGCTGCCTAACCTCACCCCACCCCCCCATACAATGTTTAAAACTACCACCTGCAATTTCTTCTGATTTCAACATTGTATTGGGTGGGGAGGGGGAGCAGTAATGCATTTCTAAAATGAAAGCAGCGCTTTTTCCAAACTTCAGTAGTAAAACACAGATAATTCGTTAAATTACATAAGTGTCCCAAGGACTTTCGTCCACAATTGTAGCATCAATGTTCAGGTCAAATCTCGCGTTGCCATTTTGCAAGTTCTCTTGTTTCTTTGTAGTACTTTTTGTTTCCAATTTCTCTGCTCTGAATGAATAACAGTTTGAGGAAGAACTCAGCCTTGTTCAATTTGCATTTTTTTTGCACCATCATAAATCTGAATAATTTTAAATATCCCACCAAAATCTGTCTCTGTACACAGGCTAACCAAAATCACCTCTTATGAGGTATGTTTTTGTTCTCAGCATACTGAGATAAATGGAAACGGATTGCTTGTTGATTGCAGACATCAGCTTTGCTATTTAAGTTAGCACTGAAATTTAAATCCTAGTTCTGTGAAGTGAAGAGGATAACTCATCGTTTTTGTTCTTCCAAAGGCATCTTCTAAAGAGTTATTAGAAGTTTTATTTTCTTTGTATTTTTATTATGTACTTTATATTATTCTACATAAATGACTCTGCTGTTTTAATGAAAAATGCTATTTCTCCACAACGTCTATGTTATGTGACCGTTATTTCGGCTAGCTTTCCACCGTTGCACAAAAAAAGCCAACAAAGTGCTTCAAAGGTGGCGTGTCCTTGCCTTTTATAGGATCGCTCCGTGTTTAATTTACTTGATAAGTCAGGGATGAACTGGATGTGCTTTTTATACTGAGTCAAGGTAACCTGACACCAGTAATGCTGAGATCGTGAAACATTAATTACTTCATGATCAGAACTGCACGTCGGTGGTCATCATTTCAGGTCCTTAGATGTAGGTTTATTTATTTAATTTTGATTAATTGTTTTCGTTTTCTTTTTGGGGAGAGGTTTGGCAGGTCCTAACAATACACATGAAAAAAATTACTCAATTCAGGGCTTCAGATATATTGCGTGGTGGTGGAGCCGTGAATTTCAAGTAAATCTGCAAAATCCCACGAAATTCACGAAAACATGCGAAATCCCATGAAATTCGCTAGAAATCTTATCAAGTACTTGTCGGTACAACATGTCTGAAAGTTATCTTGGCTTTTGGGGCTGCCTTTGCTGTAAACTTGCTAAATTACCTTGAAACTTTGTCACTGCAATGAGTAAACAACATCCCAAACCTACCAGGCATTCTTAGATTAGTGTTGTGAAAATATGCCAAGCCAAATGTAGCAATATTCAATATTGCTATATCTATTCAATTCAGTCCTTATTCATTCAATTTAATTTTGGTATTCATTCAATTTAATCCTTGTTCATTCAATTCGTATAATCATTCTATTCAATCTGTATTCATTTAATTCAATTTTTAGATCCATTCAATTTAATTTTTATATTCTTTTGATTCAATTTCAATATTGGTTCAATTCAAGTACTACATTCATTCAATTCAATTTGTAATTCATTCAATCCAATTTTCATATTCATTCAATTCAGTCCGTCTTTATTCAGTCAATCTTTGCATTCATTTATTCAATTTGGGAATCTGGGTCGATTTGTGAACTCGTGGGGCACTGGGATTTCCTGCACTTCGAAACCTCCATCTTGGCTTGGGAAGGTCTGTTTTTCTCTCTTTCAACAATACTCATGGGAGACACTAATTTTATTGCTGTTGACCGTTACAATATCTTGGATGTGACATTTGAAGAGCTAAAAACAGTACAGGATCCTTGGAAGAGTAACCTTTCAAGTTGATTTTTATGGTGAAATAGTTCAGAACAGTGGACGTCCAAGGAGGGAATGGATCAGACTTTGTATCCAACACATCAAGAAAAAATAGTTTGACCATGGACTTAAGGAACACTTAGCAGAGGAGTACTTTTTCATGGGACAGATGGCTGCTATTGCACTTCTACAGAATAGTCAAGCACCAAAGTATTTTTCTGAAGATCTCTTAAATGACATTTTTGTCAGTGAAGAGAGAGAATTGTCACCATGTGTCTTGCAACTTTGTCAAGGGTTAGGGAGTCTGGGTATTCATATGTTTGCCAGGAAGTTCCCATTGATCCTTTACTTGCTGAGGGCACCACAAAATAATGCCAAACTAACAGTTCCAATGCTGATTCATCTTCTGAAACCCAAGTTTTCAGAGGAGGGGTCTAACAGTCTAGTTCACGAGAAAGCTGTTTATGGAAAGTTTGTTAAGAATGGCTGACTGTTAGGATCGAGAAACGCCGGTCAATGACCCATTTGGCAAATCGCTCATATTTTGCCCAATGATACCCTTAGGTGACCTAATTCTAAAAATCATATTATAAGGTTCCAGCGAATTTTTATTTTTCAGAAATTCGTGAAAATTTGAAAGCGCGGTCAAAGTGCAGTTTTTCGTGTAATAAAATGACCGAAATAAGGTGCGAGGATGAAGCGCTGCTAAAGTCTTAAAATAAATTAAATTGACTTCAAACTTCACACAAATG